AACATTCTTAACTTCTGTTCGTTTATTGTCTGTCCTCCTCTTTTGACTGTGAGCTTGTCCCTTGGCCCTGCACAGCCTCACGCCGCTGCTTGCTTGTTACACGTGGTCTTCATTTCAGTTACTACCTGGTGCTTATCAAGAAGTTTTTGGCACCTGATGCACGCAGGGCACAACTTACGCATTTTCAAGAGGACACACGAGGCTGAGATGGGGTCTGTTTACCAGTGTTTAGCAGATTTGAAAATTTAGTGCTCTGTGCAAAAGCAATTTAGGAGCTGAAAAATATTAAGGAAATACCAAGAAAGAACAGAGTACTATTTTTAGTACTTTATAGATAGATATAAGGCCATTGTGTCAATTTAGGAAAACCATATGTATTAGATTTTAGTTTCTTCATATGTTTGGCATGTTTGATACATAAAACGAAAAAAATAGAAATGTTTATTTTTTCTGCAGTGTGTGAGGGAACAGGAGTTTGAAGGTCGAGTGATTTGGGGAGAGGGCTATATTTCTGTGGAAATTTAATAAATTTTCTGAGTTTTTTTTCCCCCCACCTATGGAGAAGACCTAGGACACAAACATTAAATGTTAGTATTGATTCAAGAATTAAGTAACGAAAACATTGCTGAGGAAAATTAAAACTCTAAGTAAGTGAAGAGCTAGGTCATATTCGTGGGTTTAGAAGACTCGATTTTGTTAAGCTTGTCAGTTCTCACCAAATTGATATATAGATTTAATGCAATCCCAATCAAAATTTGCTAAAATGGACAAGTGCATCTGAAACTCATATGGAAAGGAAAAGGAATTAGAACAGTCAAAACAACTTTGGTGAAGAAGAACAAAGAGAACTAACACTGCCTGACTACCAGAATTATTATAAAGCTACAGTAAGTAGGACAGTGTTAGCATCAAGATCACCAAGTGAACCAGCCGGTCAGAGGAGAATGTTCATAAATAAACCCACTCATATTCGGCAGCTTATTTTTGACAGGTGCAAAGACAATGCAGTTGTTCTGGGACAATTGCATATCCATTTACATATTGTGGTTGGAACAATTGGATATCCATATGCAAAAAGAACAAAGAAAATAACTTCAGGAGTGCTTGGGTGGTACAGTCAGTCTCTCATACCATACTCACAAATTAATTCAACATAGATCATCACCTAAATAGATCATAAACCTAAAACCTACAACTATAATACTTGTAGAGAGGAGGAGAAAACTCTTGTGATTTTGAGTTAGGCAAAGATCTTTTTTTTTTTAAGAGTTTATTTTAGAGAGATAGGGCGAGAGGGAAAGAGAGAGTGCTCACAAGAAGGAGAGGAGCAGAGGGAGAGGGAGATAATCCTCCAGCAGACTCCATGCTGAGTGCAGAGCCTGACAGAGCGGGAGTGGGGTGGGGGGGGAGGGGGGCTCGATCCCAAAACCCTGAGATCATGACCTGAGCTGAAACCAAGAGTCAGTCACTTAACCAGTGGAGCCACCCAGGCACCCCTGAGTTAGGCAAAGATTTTAGATATAACATCAAAAGCATGATCCATGAAAGAACAAATTGATGAATTGGATGGACTTTATCAACATTAAAAGTTCTGTTTTTCAAAACACATTATTACGAGAATGAACATTATGATAAGCCACAGACTGGGATAAAATATTTATAAATCATAAATATAAAATATTGTAAATAATAAATCACAATTATGAAAATTCATAAATCATAAATCATCTGAGAAGGGGTTTGTATGCAGAATATATAAATAACTCTCAAAACTCAACAGTAAGAAAATAAACAGTTTTAAAAACAGGCAAAGATTTGAACATATATTTCACCAAAAAAGAGATTATGCATGGCAAATAAGCACATGAAAGATAGTCAACATCATTAGTCATTAGAAAAATGCAAATTAAAAGCACAGTGAGATACTACTATCTATGAGAATGGCTAAAATTAAACATTGACCACACCATGTGTTGATGAGGATGTGGAGTAACTGGGACTCTCACACACTCTAGTGAGAATGTAAAATGGTGCAACCACTTTGAAAAATAATTTGGCAGTTTCTTGAAAAGTTAAATGTATACATACCATGTGATCCAGTCATTCCCCTCAGGTATCAAAAAAAAAAAAAGTGAAGTTCATATGTACACAGATGTTCACAGCTGCTTCATCTGTAATAGCCACAAGTTGGAAACAACCCGTATGTCTGTCAACAGGCAAATAAATAAAAACAAAAACAACCTGTGGCACATCCATACCACAAAATACTCTTTGGTAATATGAAGGAGTTAACTATTGATACATTGTAGCATGGATGAATCTTTTTATAGTTGTACAGAGTAAAAGAAGCCAAATGAAAAAGTATATGCTGTGTGATTCCATTCATACACAGTTCTATGAAATGCAAACTAATGCACAGGGACAGGAGATCAGTGGTATAGGGGATGAGCAGATAAGGGGATCAAGGATGTGGAGGGTGATGGGAGGGATGGATTAAGAAATGAGCACAAGGGAACTTTGCAGGATGATGAATATATTCATCATTGTGGTGATGGTTTCATGGCTACGTACATGTATCAAAATGTATCACATTTTACACTCTAAAAATTACATTTTATTCTTTCAGGGATCCCCTAAGACCAGCCATGTGTTTGGTGATTGACTGGGACACTTAGCACCCAGCATATAGTTGAACTTGTGGCTTAGATTTATGACAGTGACACAGTAAGGATACATAGCCAGCTCAGTGAGGGAACAAGACACCAGGAAGAAGGGTCTGGAGGAATCCATGTGTAGACTCCCTATGTTCTCTCCCTCCCACAAGGGGTCACACAAGCACATCTTCCCTCCAGCAGCAAAACTGTCACCCCAGGTATGCGATGCTTATGCCTGGGGAAACCCATGTAACGTTCAGAATTCAGGGTTTTTTATGTTTTTTTATCGTCACGTAGGCACCTCCTGCCCACCAATGTTTCAGATTCCCAAAAGGAAAACAGGTGTTCAGTGCCCCCAGGCAGACAAAACTTTATCAGAGTGGGGACTGTTTGAAAAGCCAGGTTCCCAGATGCCAGCCAAGGGCCAGCCTTATAAGCAAGTCTCTTAGACAGTAGTCTCTGAACTATGAACTCTTTTCTACAATTATACCTCAGTAGGACTTTTTAAAAATCCTCATATAAGTTAGTATGAGCACAAGGCAATGGTGATTAATTTATTGAGAAAGTAATAGATTATAAAAATAATTCCAGATTTGTGGAAGACCAATACAGTGAGATCTTTGTTACCTGAACTGCTTCATGCCCTTAAATCTTTTTGGAGTGAGGTGGGAGATTAGTAAGTGAAATTGGAATGCCTGGGAAATGGGAGCTTCTAGTTATTTTTTATTCTTTAATGATAAGACTTTTCATTTGAGGAGCGCCTGGGTGGCTCAGTCCTTTAAGCATCTGCCTTCAGCTCTGGACATGATCCTGGGGTCCTGGAATCGAGCCCCTCATCAGGTCGGGCTCTCTGCTTAGCAGGGAGCCTGCTTCTCCCTCTCCCTCTCTGCCGCTCCCCCTGCTTGTGCTCTCTCTCTCTCTCTCTCTGTCAGATAAATAAATAAAATCTTAAAAATGAGACTTTTCATTTGAATTATATTTGAAAACATTTCCCAAGTATATAATTTTTCTTAAAAAAATCCTTGATTGATAATCATCATTTTAACCGTTGGTTAACTGATCATGACCCAGTTCTGTAGCAAATAAAAGGCAAAGCTTTGGTGTTGGGGGGGGAAAAAGCTTTGGTGTTGAAATTGTCATTACAACAGGCCCAGCAAATGCAGCTGGGTAGGTTGCGCCCAAGGACACCCCCAGCTAAGGGAGTGAGTGGAGCTGACCTCAGCCTGTACTTTAATGTGGCCAAGCCACAGGCCCCTGCATACATGTGTGCCCGAGAAAAGGGAAGCTTTAGTTTGCACAAAGGTGTCTTGTGGGCTGCTTCTGGTCCTGTTCGACACGTGTCTTAGAAGGTGGTGGTGGATGGGCGCCTGGGTGGCTGAGTTGGTTAAGCGACTGCCTTCGGCTCAGGTCGTGATCCTGGAGTCCCGGGATCGAGTCCCGCATCGGGCTCCCCACTCGGCGGGGAGTCTGCTTCTCCCTCTGACCCTCCCCTCTCTCATGTGCTCTCTCTCTGTCTCATTCTCTCTCAAATAAATAAATAAAATCTTTAAAAAAAAAAAAGAAGGTGGTGGTGGTGGTTTTCCCCCAGAATGCTGCCAGCTTTGTTGTGAACATGTCTTTCCCCTCAAAGAAATCCAGCAAATCACTTGCAGTGGAGGGCTGTCTTTAACCAGAACTCCGCCAGGTGCTACGGTGTGTGCTGGGAGAGAGAAGGCCAGCTTCTGCAGCTGACCGCATGACGCGTTTCCCCCTCTAGCTGGGCCCAGTTTCCCTTGGAAGGCGGAACGTAGGGTGCGTTTTTCTTTTTGTCTCTCTGGAGAATGCCTGGTATCTGTTCTATATGTGGATGCCATTAGTAACGCCCCCAGCCACTATTTCTGTGTCTGTATAAATAAAAAATTCATAGAAAGGCAACTCCCGTGGCTTCTCTGAGTGAAATTTTTGCTGTTACTGAGCAATCAAGTTTCCTAAAGGGAAGTCAACCCTCTCACTTCCAAAGACGCAAAGTTTGAAGATTCAACTTTGAAACAAATAGAAAATATTTTTGATAGTCACAACTTAGCTTCAATAAGTGATGTTCAGATACTGACACCCACTTTATTTCTTTTAAGCCTGGAGCCGCCCAGCTGACCGCGACAGAGGGTGGCCGATGGTGTCCAGCAGCTGTGCATCAGGCCACAGGCTGCCAGTAGGAGGGTTCTGTTCGGAACCTTCAGCTTCTGAAAATCTATGTCCCCCACCCCACCCCACCCACCCCATTTCTTCTGTGTGGTTCACATTTCTTTCCTCCCTTCAGGTTATTTTCCCTCAGGAAACTTAAACCACCTCTCTTTCCCCTTTTTATAGATGCGAACTACACGTAAAGTCTCTGTCTGGCCAGTGGGCCTGGTTGGTGGGCGACGCTATGAACGTCCGTTGGTGGAAAACGGCAAAGTCGTTGGCTGGTACACCGGCTGGAGAGCAGACAGGCCTTTTGCCATCGACATGGCAGGTGAGGAGTGTGGGTGGTGACTTTTGCTCCTCCCTGATTGTTCTCCCAGTGGTCCTGTTTGTTGTAACAGTGTCCTGGAGGAAGGAAGCTTTGAAGGACCCTAGATCCTATTACATTCAGCAGATAAACTAAGGAAACTTCAAGACAGGCTTTTTGATTAATTCAAGTAGAAATGGACTTTGTGGGTGATTAGAAATGCTCATTCTGTCCCATTTTTGTCAGCTCTCTATGTGGCCATTTCTTCAACAAGTGTGTGCGCGCCAGGTGCTTGTCCGGGTGTCCGGTCAGTGGTGGGAACCAGACTTGGCCCCTCCTCACCGGGGCTGCTGCCCGTGCCCTCTGATGCCCCTCTCTAGGAGTCCATTTGGTTTCGGTATATCACATGCTTATTGATAAGTATAAGAATGATGTGAAATTGACAAGCTAATCATTTTAATGCTTAATAAATTCAGTGCTTATTGATATATTTAATAGCTGAAACATAAAATTGGATTTCTGGTTTTTCAGACATTAACTGAGTATAACTGTCTTTTAAAGTTAATATCCCTGGAGCACCTGGGTGGCTCAGTCAGTTAAGAGTCCAACACTTAATTTTGGCTGAGGTCATGATCTCAGGGTTGTGAAATTGAGCCCTGCGTCGGGCTCGTGCTGGGCATGGAGTCTGCTTCAGATTCTCACTCTCTGCCCCTCCCCCCCCTAAAAAAATAGTTTTTATTCTCTGATCAACCCATTGAATTGAGTAAGACCAATAGTAGTCCACAAATCCTAAAATGTGTCACTTTATGGTAATGTTTTATATAAAACGATGCGTATGGTAACTGGAAGGATGCAGTTTAAAACATGAGGCTTAGAGGCAAGAAAAATCACTGATATTTATAACCTAGAAGATGGAGGCAGAAAAGCTTCAAGATTGATTCCATCTTCAAGTCTGGAACACAGTTCTCTCTGTCTGTCTGTCTGTCTGTCTGTCCTCCTGTGCTTGGTCAGTCCTTTGTGTGTATTTCCCAACTTCAGTCAAAATCTCTATACTCAGAATTCTGATGGGATGAAGGCTGCATTCTGAACTGGAGTCATCACTTTTATTTTGACAATCCTATAAATTTGAGGGAGCAAGATTATGAAGAGTGCTAGGAGTAAGGCTGTGTCTTTTGAGAATCTGTTTATTGCCCAGAGGAAGTGTAACTTTGAGCAGAAAACTTTGAGGGCATTAGACAAAGTCTTTTGCTTCCCCGAGACTTAGCTTCCCCATGTGTGGAATGAGGCGTAGCCTGAATGACCACTGAGGTCTTCTCTGATGTGTTCTTCCTTCTCCTGGCTTCCGTCTTCTCTTCTTCAAAGAGAAGCCAGGTCCCGGTTCCTAAGTGAGGAGTTGAGACTGCTAAAGCTCAACCGCCAGTTGATAGGTGTTTGGTCCTTACCTTTCCCAGAGCCTTGCTTCACCACAGGCTCTGCAGACGTGTCTCCTTACACCCAGGATCTCTGCCTACAACCCTGCAAGGTAGCTTCAAGGTGAGGACAACTTGAATAAGTCTTCCTGGATTTTGTTGTAAGAACTTTTACATAGATGATCAAGTATCCAGTAAACCCACTGAATATTTGCATTGATTCCCCCCAGAGTTTGGATCAAATAGATATGTCTAAAACTCAAGAACGGCACATGGATTTTATGCATTAGGCCTGGCCTGTGATAAGATATCTGATACCTTTTTACTGCTAAATTCCCTGGGAAACTTTGCTCTATGACATGACTGATGTTTGGCTTTTTCTAAGTGTTTCAGTATATTTTCAAAGCATAATGTAAGAACTATCAAAAAATATGAATGATTTGCCTAGTTCTTAATTATCCTTGTTTCAAAATAGGAATACAATTTCTGTCTCTAAGAAAACAGGTTTTGCCACACTGAATGATTTTCTTCTTGTGGGAACTTGCTTTGCAAATTAGTTTTCAATAAATTATTAGTATTTTGGGAAGACTTTAAGTGAGAGCGATTTGGTTGACCAGGTGATGATTCTGATTTGGAGGGAGTTTGTTCTCGTTCTAAAATTTGAAAATTCACAGCTCTGTATACATTTCACACAAGGTTCATGTATTCTCTGTGGGAAGAGGGGAAAGACCTTGTGGACCTTCACGTACAAACGGTACTTCCCGCTTCATTTGCACTCACCGTGTCTAGAAGGAGGGAGAGAGAAGCCCGAAGCCCAGTTTCCTGCTGGCCTCTGGACAGTCGGGGAAGCGCTGCTCAGGAAACGGTCCTGGGAGTGGAGTGAGAGGCCAGCGCGGGAGCCTGGGCCTCTCTGGCTTTCCACAGGGTGAGTGAGAGCCGTGCCGCCTAGCCAGCAGGGCACGTTTCCACAGCTGTCTCACTGTGGGGGTGGAAGACACCTTCGCTGGAAGCCCGTCCGTCTGTCCCGCCTGGATTTCTGTGAAGTCACAGCCTCGCCCATCACTCGAAGCTGATTTGAGTATCAGACCTTGGAACTGTAACGTTTCATGTCATTCGGGATGTTTGACCCTGTGTCCATCTTTGTTTTGCCGTATTGGACTTGGAGGTGTTATTTTTGCTCTCAGATGAGGAACCATTGTTCTGGAATTACCTTGTAGGCACAGTGGTGTTAATGGCAGAAGTAAAGATTGTTTCTGTTGCACTGGGGGAAAGTTAAAAAACAACCCAAACTTTGGAGTGATGACTGCTGAAACAAAGAGATAAATAACCACCCCCAAGATGGCCCGGGAGCGAGCGCGTCAGAGGCGGCCCCTGCCCAGGCTGCACGCAGGGGGCTCTGCCAAGCCAGGGAGACCTAGAATACCGCTGCTGGTCTGAGCGTCCAGCTTCAGCTCCTACCCCTCGGGCATCTGACCCCTGGCTAGTTCTGACTGACTGCAGCAAGGCTCTCCACACAAAGTGTTTGGCTCGCTTTTGAAATCAGGGTGTTCTTTTCAAGCGACAGACTCACTTTGGCCACTTCCAGGGAGGTGTCAATAAGAACCATTGCTTGAAAGAACTGAGCTTAAAGTAATCTTGAGCCTCGCTCGCCAGGAGGTGTAGGTTTGTTCAAATTCAGAACTTGAGGCTGAGATCCCTACTTTGAATTCTCACTGTGTGCGTGCACTTTAATCTTAACTCTGAGAGGTGGCAGGCATGGGCTCTGTGCTCCTTTCAGGACAGTGTGTACACTTCCCAGTTGAGTGCCCGGCGCACAGTAGGACCTCTATTCCAGTTAAAACCCCAGCTGGGTGTGCTGTTGTTCAGCTCTGCCAGTAACCCCCCCAGGTAGCTCGGACCCCACAGGTTGGCACAGTCTGCACACAACTGCCCTTGTTTAGCCAGCAACACTTTCGGGGTCCCCAGGCCAACCGCACTCCCCACTAGCTGTAAATCTGTTGTTGTTCTCTCAGGTTTGACAGTTTACTAGAAGGACTCACAAAATTCAGGATAATGCTCTATTTATCATTACAATCCTTTTACAAAAGATACAAGTTAGGACCAGCCACATGAAGAAGACACCTGGGGTGAGTCCTGGTAGAGAACGCAGAGCTTGTGTGCAAGAAGATCTGTCCCCCTCCCAGCACATTAATGTGTTCATAGCCTGGGAAGCTCCGCTGATCCTCTGCGTTCAGAGTTTTCAGATAGTTTCATTATGTAGGCACGATTGATTGAATCAGTGGCCACACAACTGAACCCAGTCTCCAGCTTCTATCCCCAGAGGTCGGCATGGCCCCCTGCGTTCCAACCCTCTAATCCTGTGTTTGGTTTTTCCAGTAACCAGCCCTCCCTCTGGAGCTGTCTAGGGACCCGCTGCAGCCACCTCATTAGCATAACAAAGTCACTCCCATCCCTCAGGAAATGCTAAGGGTTTTACAAGCTCCTTGCCAAGAACTAGGCACAAAGACCAGATAGATTTTTTTTTTTTAATTATACCACAGGCTCAAAAATGGTAACTTGCATATCCTAAAGAAGAGTGTCTGCCACATCCCTGTTTTACGAATGCTTTCATGCACAAAAACAAAGGGTACATTACGTGATGTCTCAGGGTCCCTTTCAGCTTTGTCTGTCCATGTTTTCCTGACTCATAAAAACGAGACGTGATTGTAAAGTGATGAAATCGTTTCTTGTGTGTGGGTTACACAGAGGGATGAGAAGTCTAGGAGGACTCTGAGTTTTCGGGCCTGGAGTCCTGTGGACATGGGTGTGTTGAAGCTCTGGAAATAGTTGAGCTCCCGGGATGGCATCCTAGGGCGCAGCCATTTCAAGTGGCTGCAGGGGGCGGAGCCAGGGAAGGGAGCAGGGCCCAGGGGGAGGGCAGTCGGGTGGACCCATGGTAGCGGCAACCAGAGGGAAGAGGTGGGTGAGGCATGAATTTGTTGGCTGCCTTGTGTCATGGATGTGAAAGAGGATGGTGCTTGGTGAGTGTGGGAGTGTGAGAGCCGGGCATGTAGACGGTGTCATTAAGATGCTTGGCAATTAGGCTGTTCCCTGGAACAAGGGATATATGGGAGAATAGAGGGCCTGAATTCAAGAGGAGTAAACGGTTGGCAGAATTGTCCAAGGAAAGTTAGGTTTCCGGTACAGCAAAGAGGAAGGGGAAGTTCAGTCCATGAGAGGATTGGGAAGGTTCCATTTGGTCAGGACAGTGATTACAGAGGATGTCATGGAAGTAAGTAGCTGGGAGGGCTGCAAGGAGCTATGTGTAGGGAAGAGGACAGGTATCCCTCAAAATTTCAACGAATAAAGCATTCAGGACTAAGAATTTTGAAAATCAGAAGTTTTCCCTTCTGTCTGGGAAGCCCAGCTGACAGATTATTCAACAATAACGTTGGATTATTGTTTACGGAGCATCAGGCATGTTTACCAGGCGTCAGGCATTCTTCGGTGCTCTGGGTGCTTTCTTATTTCATCTTCACTCAGTTCTGCAAGGGATGTGCTCGTATTCTCCTCCTCCTTTAAAGAGAAGGAAATGGAGGCCTGGACATGCGAAGTCACTTGCCCAAATTTGCACAG